CCTTTATACTAGGCAAGATTCACCTGTTTTACTGGACGATAGTCGACCAAATTACTTGTTAAAATATACACTTTTTGCAGTGTGCATGCATCGATCTCTCCAAATATGCAGGTCAATAATTATTCTAACTGCAAAGCCTACAGAATGCTCAATCTACTGCTGCTGAAATGAAATGAACAGGATGGTCAAAAGATTATAAAAGCGTTAATTATAATTATAATTCAGATAAACACTCGGGATTTATTGTTTATCAAATGTCCTGCACTGCATTTATAATAACAGTAAACGTTCAAAACGTATTTTTAAAGAATAAATTAGAAGAACAATTCAACCAACTTTTTAATAGTATTTTTGTTTCGACATTAAGCTGCTCGTTCCATCACGTTGTGAAACACTGTAAAGGATCTGCTTTTCTTCTGGGCAGTGTTAAATCCGATCCCCTTGATGCGTGCGGAGAGCAAAGTGAATTAGAGATTGAGGTGGGAGGCTGATTAACCCCCCCCCGTCCAACTGAGACCAAAGTCGTGATGCAAAGAAAAGGAGGAGACAGAAAGAAGATATTTGAAAAGCTGCACGAGTTCCCTGTCACACCGCCTCCTGCGTGGATTGAGCCGTGCTCTTTGTTATCCACAGGCATGAATACTGAGTGGATGTCAAGAAAAAAGGGCCCAAGAGAAGGGAGGAAGAAAAATACATCGGGGAACGTCTGCGTCTATAAGAACCCAAAACAAAACTAAGACCGACAACATTTCGATCAAATTGGGCTCTTCGCTTATTTATACTTTATTGTATCTACTGCCCCAATTGCTCCTCGTAGGCCTACAATTTAGACTATTTGACATATTCTAAGAGTAAAACACATGAAGTTATTACTAATACTGAAGCTTCTGTGGCCTCATTGTAACCCAATACTGAAATACAAAGTATTTATTATCAACATTAGTATTATTATAACATCCCAGTCCTATAATATTATCATAAGACATGACTCAAAGAACTTCAAATGCTTCATCTTCTGTCCTATGAAATATTCTTGCACTCTATTGATGTAATTCCCTCAATATTTACGTTTTAGAGGCTTATTTTAACTTGTGATATTTTTGTAATGCGTTTTATATTTACCATGTTGTTTGGTCTGTAAAATTCCAATATGGACCTCTACATGTGTTGTTATGATTGTGCAATATTGTTTTTGCATGGGGCTTGTTTGGGACACATCAATTCGTTTCTGACACACAAACACACACACACACACACACACACACACACACACAGAGGTGGATAGAGAGAGAGAGAGAGAGAGAGAGAGAGAGAGAGAGAGAGA